AAATGTTGCTGGCCTTTTGGGAAGAAGCAAAAACATGTCCCCGGGAGCACCAACATGTTTGGAAAATTTTAAGGATCCAAATTTTTTTGCAGATACGCAGCGGATACAGTACAATCTATGCATGCAAATTTTTCTCTGCGATTGCTTTCGAACGCACTGGGTGATGAACAGAATCAGCATGCCCTGGTACTATCACCCTTATCACTAGCGACAACGATATCACTGGCTAGTGCCACATCGGGCGGCATTACCAAAGCACAAATGAATGATGTCCTTGCTAAGGGTATTATTTCTTGTTGATTTACAGCACTGGGTTAGGATTTCGGGAACAGAGGGTGGTCCGAGATTTCTTTGAAATTGAGCTTAATTACAAAATTTCTCATTTTTTCATTTTTCGGCACTGACAAATAACAAACATCCTTCAGGGTCTCCTTGAGCATTTTGGACAAATTATACTTTGTTGAGGTTTTTTCACAGCACTTCTAGTGAACTCATTCTTATTTAAGAGGCTTGCATAATTCTTAAAACGTGTTTTTCTGCAGTAAATTTCTTCAATTTTTTTTTGACTTCCACTTACTCGTCAATTGTTCCTTTATTATTCAGGCTGCACATTTTGAATGCCGATGCACCATGCAACTTCTCCATTCTTCTCTATTTTGCGCTTCTCTCATCCACATAGTCCCACATCGTCGTCAATCAGATCATTACGCCACATCGGTGACCTTTCTCACACTATGTGGAAGTTTCGCAATCGATGATTGCGTTTAATCTGACATTAATACGGCCATTTAGTAATTAAAATTCTTTTTAAGCGGTAGAAAAATCAAATATTCAAAGTGGCCAAATTTTGAGAGAGAGAGACGATTTAGTCGAGCTCGTATTACTGAAAAAAAAATCTTTGCAAAATACCATTCAGCCGGATAATGACTGATCATTATAGCAGCTTATCCGCAGTAATTACGTCAAAAAATACCATTCTCATTGTCTTGATTTGTCCCATACTTCAATTATTCTCCCTTTCTTAGCCGTTTTTTTCTCCCTCCATCCCGCAACCCCACTCTTTTCTTTTCTCTCTCGCTCCCACACTTTGTTCCGTTTTGCCT